TCTCTCTCTCTCTCTCTCTCTCTCTCTCTCTCTCTCTCTCTCTCTCTCTCTCTCTCTCTCTCTCTCTCTCTCTTCTCTCTGCGGATGTGCTCGTGCAGGTGGATCCGCTGCGAGGCTCGGTAGGGGCAGTGCGGGCAGCGGAAGGGCTTCTCGCCCGTGTGGATGCGGATGTGCTCGTGCAGGTGGATCCGCTGCGAGGCTCGGTAGGGGCAGTGCGGGCAGGCGAAGGGCTTCTCGCCCGTGTGGATGCGGATGTGCTCGTGCAGGTGGATCCGCTGCGAGGCTCGGTAGGGGCAGTGCGGGCAGCGGAAGGGCTTCTCGCCCGTGTGGATGCGGATGTGCTCGTGCAGGTGGATCCGCTGCGAGGCTCGGTAGGGGCAGTGCGGGCAGCGGAAGGGCTTCTCGCCCGTGTGGATGCGGATGTGCTCGTGCAGGTGGATCCGCTGCGAGGCTCGGTAGGGGCAGTGCGGGCAGCGGAAGGGCTTCTCGCCCGTGTGGATGCGGATGTGCTCGTGCAGGTGGACGCGCTGCGTGGCGCGGTAAGGGCAGTGCGGGCAGGCGAAGGGCCGGTCGCCCGAGTGCGTGCGCAGGTGCGTGGTGAGGTGGCTGCGCTGCGCCGCCCTGTAGTCGCAGCTGGGGCAGGCGAAGGGCTTCTCGCCCGTGTGGCGCCGCACGTGCTTGGTCAGGATGTAGTTGGTCCTGGCGGCGTAGGGGCAGTGCGGGCAGCGGAAGGGCTTCTCGCCCGTGTGGATGCGGATGTGCTCGTGCAGGTGGATCCGCTGCGAGGCTCGGTAGGGGCAGTGCGGGCACGCGTGGGGCTTCTCCCCGGCAGCGGCCCGCAGGTGCAAGGCCGCGGCACCTGCGGCACCTGCGGGCTTGGCGGCCGGAGGGAAAGGGAGGTGGAACGCGAACGGCTTCTCCGCACTGAGAGCCTGCAAGGAGATGCCTCGAATTAGGTCCTCTGGTGGTGGGAGCGGTGGAGGGAGGGGGGGGGGGGGGGAAGGAGGCATCAGTCGCTAAAGGAATCTTTTAAAGACGCTACAGAGTGTACTGCATGTAACAAGTAGCAGATTTGGCCGACTTTATTCCGCAATTCTGGACGTGAAGGCGCCTGCCATGAGCCTACAGGTTCTCCCATCTTCCCGACTTCCAGGCCCGACTTCCAGGCCCGCCGGCCAGGCGGAGACAGGCGGAGACAGGCAGCCGAAGGCCTTCCAACGCCCGCGCAACGTCATCAGTTCCATGTAATCATTCTTCGCTTTACGCCACTCTCTTCCTCCCCCCCCCCCCCCCCTCTCTCTCTCTCTTCTCCCTATTCTCTCTCTCTCTCTCTCTCTCTCTCTCTCTCTCTCTCTCTCTCTCTCTCTCTCTCTCTCTCTCCTCCCTATTTTCTCTCTCTCTCTTCTCCCTATTTTCTCTCTCTCTCTTCTCCCTATTTTCTCTCTCTCTCTTCTCCCTATTCTCTCTCTCTCTCTTCTCCCTATTCTCTCTCTCTCTCTTCTCCCTATTCTCTCTCTCTCTCTCCCTATTCTCTCTCTCTCTCTCCTCCGTATTCTCTCTTTCTCTCTTCACCCTATATTCTTTCTCTCTTCTCCCTATTCTCTCTCTCTCTCTCCTCCCTATTCTCTCTCTTTCTCTCTTCACCCTATATTCTCTCTCTCTCTTCTCCCTATTCTCTCTCTCTCTCTCTCCTCTCTCTCTCTCTCTCTCTCTCTCTCTCTCTCTCTCTCTCTCTCTCTCTCTTCTCCCTATTCTCTCTCTCTCTCTCTCTCTCTCTCTTCTCCCTATTCTCTCTCTCTCTCTCTCTTCTCCCTATTCTCTCTCTCTCTCTCTTCTCCCTATTCTCTCTCTGTCTCTCTTCTCCCTCTTCTCTCTCTCTCTCTTCTCCCTATTTTCTTCCTCTCTTTCCTCCCTATTCTCTCTCTTCCCTCGTTTTCTTCTCATCCTATTTTTTCCTTCTCCCCCTCCCCCGTCTCTCTCCCAGCGTGACGTAGAGGCCACCTTTGCCATCCTTTCCCTGAAGACCTCGGCAGTTTAGGATCCTTTCCGCAACCCTTCTCGCCTCGCGCCCTGCGCCCAATTTCGCCGCGAAGGCGCTGGCCGCCTGAAGGGAACAAAGGCATGAAAGACGAGAGAAGAGTCTCGGCTGACATTAATTTCCGATCCGAGCAGCCGCGGCAGCTTACACGCAATAGCATGGGCGAAATACTTGATGTTAAAACACGAGGAATACATTATTGCCTCAAATACATCAAATTGCGCCTGAACTACCAACTGCACTGCAGTCTGTCTCGTGCAAGAACTGTATTATAGTTCTCACGATGAGACTGAATCGCTTGAGTGTCTCTCCACAAGTCCCTGCAAATCTAGGCCGGCGACACACGCCCACGGTATGTGGGCGTGTGTCGCCGGCGCTTGCGGCGCGTGCTTGCGGCCGGGGTGCCGTGGCAACGCGGCCAAGCGTGTGTCCATTCGCCGCTTGCATGAACTTTTGCTCTGGCTTCCTCCTGCGCGATTCGGTGCCTGGGCGCCACCCCGCCCTCGCTCCTGCCTCCGCCCTCTCGCTCCAGAGCATTGGCTGAATCCGACTCAACAGAACGTCAACTTTTTCGAGGAATGAAAGCACTGCCGCGGGTCCAGTTCCATCCGGCATTTCAGTGTAAATTCTCGCCACGTCGGAGATACAATTTCACACTAATATTACAAGAAAAATCAGACACCAAAGTATTCTGACAGTTACAATTCATGTCAATGAAACGGATACATGGAACAAAATGTTCTGAATAAAACAATATTAATAAAACAAATAACCGTAAAACAATACTTATGTTAAGCTTGTTCATGATAGTAATACTGATGATGATGATGATGACAATAATAATAATAGTAATACTAATAGTAGCAATAATAATAATAATAATAATAATAATAATAATAATAATAATAATAATAATAATAATAAATATTAATAATAAAAGCAATAGCAATAATAAAGCTGATAACACAAACAGCCATAATAATAGTAATAATAGTAATAATAGCAAGAAAAAAATAATAAATAAAAAAGATAATGATAAAAATAAAAGCAAAAATATATATTCTTCTGTTGCATGACGGTCTTGAGATAAGGAATAATACTGCAAGATGCATCGTTTTCCGCCGGCCTACTCTGCTGCTGACGCGCCCGTCCGCACTGCCTCCAGTCCTCGGCTCAGGGCAGGGCGGGCATGTGCTGCCCGTGCTGCTGCCGCTGCTCGGCGTGGGTGCGCACGTGCCTCCGCAGCATGGCGCTCTGGCTGGCCGCGTAGGAGCACTGCGGGTGCGGGCAGGGGAAGGGCTTGTCGCCGGTGTGGATCCTGACGTGGTTCTTGAGGTCGCTGCTCTGCGCCGCGCGGTACGGGCAGTGGGGGCACGTGAACGGCTTCTCGCCCGTGTGCACGCGGCAGTGGCGCTTCAGGTTCTGGTTGGTGGAGGCCGCGTACGGGCACACGGCGCAGCGGAAGGGCTTTTCCCCCGTGTGCGTCCGCAGGTGGATGTCGAGATGGTTGCGGCGCGGCGTGGAGTAAGGGCAGTGGGCGCAGGCGTACGGCTTCTGCGTACTGAGAGCCTGCGGAGGAGACGTCCCACGATTAGCTTCATCTGGCCAAATACCACACCAGCTTTTGTCTAATCTATATACAGATTTATTGTCCGGGTTTCGACGGATGCGAGCAGCACGGCTTCGAATGCGCACGCCTTGAGGGTACGCCTTGAGGGTACGCCTTTGAGGGTACGCCTTTGAGGGTACGCCTCCTTCGCGCTGTCCCGCGAACCCAGAGCAGCTCAGCGGGAGGTCCTGCAGAGGTGGCAACGGGGCTCTCACCGTGCGAGCTCTCCCTCCTCGGCCTGCACCTGAGCGCTCCTTGTTCCACATAGCTCTCCGAGGGCCATTTCCAACCCTTTCCCGCTCGCCACATGCAGCGCCTGCGTCACCAAGAATCTTTGCAGTAGGATCGTGCCTTCGGGGCGCGTTGATGCTCCTGACCCGCAGGGCAATGCCGTGATCAGGTGAGGGTATGGCAGCCGCCTGCGCCGGCTGTGCCCGGTAGGAGCGTTACCCTTGCAAACGGGTTGAAATCACCTACACTTTTGTACAGAAGCAGCATTTCCCTGGGGGATCAACATTTTCCATATTCACGTAATTTTAAGGCCACGCCACGCCCAAATGCATTCATTTACATGTAAATTACTTCAGTGTGCAAGCGCATGCGCGTCTGTGAATGTACATGCGTGGGTGTGCGTACAAGTAGGTTATTTACTATAAATATGCTCTATAACGTGTGTGTGTGTGTGTGTGTGTGTGCACGCGCGCGCGCGTGTGTGTGTACGCGCGTGCTGTATAAATATATGTATATATTTAATTTATAACATACACACAAACACACACAGACACAAATATATATATACACGGTAAGCGAATATACATATATATACAATATACATATAACATATTTATCACACACACAATATATATATACATATAAATACATATATATTATAAATACATTATATTATATTATATATGTATTATATATATCGTATACCATATATATTATATATCATGTTATATATTATACATATTGCATATTATGTAATATGCATAATATATATCCGTATCTACTATATACATATATATACATATACATATATATGAATATATACATACACTATATGCCAAACATGTATATCACATCTATAAACGCCAGATATATAATTATATATTCAAATATATACTGTATACATACATATATAAACATAACATATATAACATAAATAAATATATATTCATATATATATATATATATATATACATATAAATATTGACATACCATATACATATAAATATCCCATATGCATGTAAATTTGTCTTAAATACATCCATATATATTTATGTATATTTAAGATATATATCAGTATGTATGTATGTATATATGCCATTATATATGCTATCTAAACGCCAT